GTCCCTTTCCGCTCGCGGGCGCGGAGTGGCCCGCCCTCGCTGCCGCGCTGCGCAGTTGGCGTGGAAGGCAACGCCCCCTTCCAAGGGCGCTCCCACAAGCAAGGCGGAAGGCGGCGCCTCACAGCGAGCGACGTGGATACACACCGCGCCAAGTACTCGTCGCGAAGGGCTTAGTGTAATTTCTTGGAAGAGAAATCTTCAAAATTACCATTCAGGAATCTCGGGCTCTCCAAACTGATATTGGCTGTTCTCATCGGTAGTTTTTTCCCTCCTTTCTCGCGTCAACACCAAGTGAATGCGAGAGCAGTACACTAACAAATAGGCCGCGGATCACGCGCGATCTTTCCTTCCTCTCGCTTGTTCTCACATCTCCCTCACACTCACTAACATGCATATCACACATGCCGGGTGACCGGTCGGGAGCTTAGGGTTTGTCCCAGCTGGGGCGGTGCCCCTTTGGTGGGAGATACTTGGTTGGCCTTCGTAGGTCAGCGTCGGATCTCGCCAGCCAGCGGGTGAAGAACATTGCCACCTCCCTCCTTGAAAAACAGCAGTACACGTACGGAATGAATTGCTTTAGCAGTTGATGCGCCCGGAAACTCGTAAATAACTTGTATTTATGAACACGTATTCATGTCGAATGTTGGTAGAACTTTAACACTTTCTTTATCTAGAGATAAAAAGAAAATAGGAAACAAAAATTAATTAATCTCAAATGGCATTAATTTATATACAATCGTTTACATTGAATATAAATTAAAGTAAAGTAGATATTAAAAGCCAGTAAACATTTTTCTTTTATTATTTGAGAAATATCTCTCCATAAAAGTCATTCAATTCCTTTTTAACTCTCTGGCATGTAAATTACTCCCTTCTGCGCATTAACAAGAGGCAGCTGGCGTAGGCTGGCTCCGCTACACACAAGCGATCCCACTCTTCTAATGTTGCCTTAATTTCGCGGTCAATTTTCCAAGACGGCCTTCAGCCCCAACGCTACGAGTGGCACAGACCGTCGGCATGGCATGAAGCACGTCACACACACAGAATCACTCGCAATTTCACAGTCTTCTTTTAATTACTCATTCTTCAGACCAGATGGGCGAATTCCCACTTATTTTAATCCACACCGGAGTCCCCGCCCACGTAGGGGGCAGATGGAAAGAAAAGTGGCGCAGAAGATCTTGAGGGCTGAGGACCGTCTTGTGTAGGATGCTGCTCCGACATTCGCCTGGAAGTGACCAGGGCAACAAGTAAGCCAAAATCAGAGCAGCCGTCACAAATTCGCTGCTGTACGACATACGAAGGACAGGATAGGACCAGCGAGGTCGCAATCATCGACACTGTGTGGAGTTAAGTGATGTCGAAGTGATGCAGATACCACTGCTGCTAAGTTTCCAACATACGCCGAATTTACGAGTAATCTACATTCACCCGAACAGCAATGCAGCAGTGAATCGCGTCTCGTTCCTAACGGCGATCGGACACGAGCACCAGCTCCGAAGAATGCGTGAACGAACGAGCAATCTTTCTCTCTCCACTTACACGAACTATAAGCCGCATGTGTCTGGCTGGGGGAGACACAGAGGTCGGCGTCGGATCCGATGTTCCAGTGAGGAAGGAACACCGCCACTGCCACCGCCGACGCGCCTGGCAACGCCAAGTAACCGAGAAATCGGGCACGATCAACTGAATCATATTGGCATTTTGACAAAAAAACATCTTAAAATTGCCTTTCTTGAATATCAGAATAGATTGAAAATGAGAAGAGATATTTCAAGCGGCCACTCAACACAAACCTAGTTTGTTAAAACACCGAATATCAATAGAAAATTACTAGCGGTATCGACGTTCGGTAGCAGACATTGAGTGGAGAAAAAATATGGTTATGAATTGATAAAAAAACTATCTTTCCTTTTTCATCCCTCCTTTCCAGTAGTTTTTATTTCACTCTCGTTCTTCAACTAAACCGCAGTCTTCTATTTGGTTATTTTGTCAGATTATTCGGTTGATGGATTTGCTCTTCGGTTTCAGTAAAGCGGTATCCATTCACAAAGGGGTTTTCGCCACCTCCTGTCAGGCATTTCCTGCAGACGTTCGTGCTACTAATTGACCACCTAGTCTGTGATTGCTTCTTTCATTGTCCGGTTTCGTTCTTAATCCCATACGTGATGAAAAGCAGTGATTGTGCAACTTTATCGCGTAAATAATCAAGCAACATAGAACACTTCAGTACCAGTGCGATGGAATCACAGTTCGGTAGCGAAGCGACAGAACATCCCCACCGCCTCCCCACAGCTGTACAGCAAAAGCGCGTTATTGCCGATGGTTTCTACAAGATATTACTATTAGATACATAGACGGACCACCCGTACACGTATTATAGGGATATTCGTGTCCCTCTACCAGCTAAAATCGATCATTTTTTATCCAGAGAATTTCTCTCTGCGCTGTTTTTCCTTGTTCATGAAATAACTGAAGGTGTAAACGAATTGTCGTCCATTCGCGTGACACGCACAACCAACCAGTGTTGCGCAATCACATGTTGCATCGTAACGAGCACAACGTCGTAGGTGGCCAACGCAGGTGAACCCTTTTGTCTTCGCATTCGTGAGAATAAGCACGAGTGCATGAGAGCGGCCTCTGAAAACAAGTGACGTACACGAGTCATTCGCTGAAGTTTAATCTGCAACACACAAACTTATTTCTGTAAAAACTGCGTATGGAAATGATTTCTACGTCTAGACGCTGGACATCAAAGTTTCCTATTCTTCACAACATATACGAATTAATTAAAAATTTAATTTAATTTACTACTAAATGTGATTATTCTCAATTTTTCCTTTAGACGTACGAGCGAGTGGGTTCTCAAGAAGCATTTCTGAAGCTCGAAGAGGCCTCTCGTTATTACAAAATTACATAATAGGCGCTGTTTCGGTGGCCTCGCGTTCTATCCTGTTCACGGTTTTACCGGAGGCGAAACGAAAACTGCTCTATCGGCGTTCGGGTTTGTCATTCTTTTAATAGGTGTTTCATCGCAATACATTTAAGGCTCCTCTCAACTAAAATGCAGTCCACTTCCCCAACCCCTCGGAATTTTTCCGACAGCACTCCATCTTTTCTGTACAAGCCAACAATTCGCTTCGACAATTTCCTTGACTTAGGAAATCTGAGATTTTGAAGCTGAGAGAATTTTTTTCCGAACACTATTATTCGGCAAGGGACGTGGCTAATTTCATGATTGATTGTTATTGACACAGTTTATTAGGGGCACTAAACATTTTCTCCGCATCATCGATTATGAGGATTTCAAAACATTGCTGTATCTGACAGCCAATATTTTACAAAACATTTTTCTGAATCTTAAATTCTCTTCAGGGAATTTCCATCTGTTTGTGTATTTATAGATACGTAATAGAAAGCATGATCCTTAGGTCTCCCAAATAATTCTACTCCAAACATACAATGTCGCAGAGCTGCCAAATTGTTCCAGTGCGAGAGCAGTGTCCCCTTCTGTTACGACGCCTCGACTTTGGTGAGATTTCAAAGGATATTACTCAACACACAGCGAAAATTGAAAAAAGTTGCACACTATGGCAAATAAATATGACGAAGATGCATCGAAATTCCTTATAGCGTTGCCAGCATTGTTTTTGAGTTACCGCGGTCCCCACCTGGGTTTTGGACTGAACATGAATGCCATTATTACTATAAATGACCCAGTGTTCCTGAATGTTTCAGACATACAATATGTAGGAATATGGAAAACTGCTGGGTTGTTGTTAGTGATTTCAGTGCAGGACGCTGTTTACAATTTCATTACAATAAGGTTCACGTCCAACTTCTAAAGGCTGGTTAAGTGACCTACTGCCCTGCCTACGCGCCAGCAACCAGTGCCTGCCTCGCTATCTACGCTGCCACACGAGCTGCGCAACGGAATACGCCAAGTGGCATCTGGTGATCCAGGGGCCATCACATGCCCCTGCCCATTGGCCTTCAACGCTACAGGTTGGGCAGCGTGGCAGGAAATGTACTGACTCCCCCACAAGGGGGAGTCCCATGCGTTTTAGAGGAGCCGTTTCCCTTTTTCAGGGAGGCTTGTGAAATGCACAACACGGTCAGGTCACGAAATGGAGGAAATGTAACAGTTCATGTGTTTCCGAAATAAGAGCAGCGCTAGTCCAGCGGCATCAGCGTGTCATCCCACACCAATCCCAATTGTATAGACTGAAACTAACTCAGAATTACGAGGCAACATTGCTTGATTTATAATAAAATTATTGAAAGTACATCCCGCCACCATAGGTCAGGTAAAACGGAAGCATTTTACGGCTGTTATCTTTCCTATTCTTTCTTTCTTTCAAGGCACTACAGTATTTACTTTCTAACTGGTCGTTCCGCAGTAAATGTGAAGCTCAGGTGGAAACTTTCATCATTTTGAAATCTTTTTTGTTCAGATCTGCAGGAATCGTCTCGCCACCTGCACCAGACATAAACAGCTTTCACACTATTACCTATACTTCCGACCAAGTAGAGCTACCGCGTAGAGCTAAACAACTTCTGAGCCCAAGCTCTGCCTGACACCCTCTCCTAGAAACAATCACGCACACATATTATGATTAAAGCAATTTTTTTCAATTCCGGTCCCTCAAAATGGATAAGACCAACGAAATCTCGAACCTCAAATTTTGGACCGATTCCGATACCTTCCTTCTTTACAACGATTAGAAGAGAAACATTAAAAGAAACATTCCCTCATTCCTCTAAGTTGAGAAGTGCATAAACAGGGTATGTCCCCTAACTTTCAATCCCAATATTTAAATATTATTCTTTATATCGCGGGAAAATGTAGTTCGAAAATTGCTTTGGTATTTGTTGGTGTTTTTACGTTTGCTCTTAAGCGTTTTGTTTTTTACAACTCAAAATATTTTCTACGTTTTTTTTTCTCACTATTTACAATTCGATTTTAGAACCGTCATCATCTGCTTCTTCTTCTTCGTTCCCTAGCTGGCTGCTGGTGGAGGGAGCTGATCCCGTAACCAGTAGGCTGTTGTAGGTGCGCTGGGCTCAGGACTTTGAGTAGGACGTGCTTCCAATTCTGACAGTTGGTGAGAGGGTTCCTGACATTGTTGATGATAAGACGGCAACTCTTCAGATCTTCAGTGGCGCAATTATCGAAAACAGGCCACACGTCCATTCGACACAACGTGCTTCTCATTAACTGAAGAGCTTAATGTGGAAGATACAGGGTAATCGTCTAGTGCAAGGATGACCAACATTCAAGGCCTCACGAGACATAACCAAAAACTTTAATATAGTTGCAGGCCATATTTTCATTACTCTGGCGATTCACACGTAACTCCTTAACGTTGATCTCGGCAGTGTGCCCGGCTGCTCTGATCCGGTGGTGTGGAACCATGCGTGATACGTGGCCGTACCATCCAAAACGCAGTGAAACACGCCGGAATGATTTTGAATTTATGAATATACTAGAAAAAATTATTTAAATCTAAACTTAACCTATTTTTACATTAAGGCGTTGTGGACCACGACAGGGCGTGTACGCTAGACGCACAATGTTCTTAACCAACATGAATGTAAGGGACATTCACATTTGTCTAATAACCTTCGCGAGCCATAAAAAATGGCACCGCAGACCGCATGCGGCTCGTGGCCCGCCAGTGGGACAACCCTGGTCTAGTGCAATATTTCCCAACGGGGTCGGTATCGCCTCCCTGGGGTTCGATGCAATTTTAAAGTGGGTCAATAGCGGAAAATGCACAGACTATTGATCGATATAATCAAGATTCTATTGATTACAATAAATATAAACGAAGTTGATTATATACATATATTAGTTATATTGTTTCTTATATAGTTTTAAAACATCGAATAATACTTGCTTTTATCATTATACAAACGGAAAATTCTAATTCGAAAAAAAACAAACAAAATCATTTTTTCTATTATTTGTCTAATTGCTATCACGTCATGTATATGTATAATTATTAAGTAAAATATAAAAACGTCAAGGGGGCCGATGAATCAAAGTATTATACTACAAGCGGTCGGTGTAAGGAAAGGGATGGGCTGCATCACACACGTCACGGCCCGTTCCTCCGATTGCGAAGCGGCGCGGCACATGTCCTCGCCGCCCACGCGCCGGATGCGGATCGCTTCTTAACGAGCGGACAGCTGGCGCTGACCCGAATCCGCTCTCCCCCACCACACAATAATGTGCTCGCAACCTCCTCTCGGAACGCTAAGGCAATACGCGATCCAAGATACCTTTGGGTCACAACAACTGCCGAGGTGAATGCAGCAATGAAAGAATAGTGTCGAGTTTCAATGAACGCTACCTTAAAGGCGCAAGGACATCACTATCTTCAGCGATGATTCACTATGTTAATTTTATAATTTTAGGAAACACTATCTCTGGAATTATTTCACTTGAATAGTTGATATTTTTTACAGTCAATACTCAAATCATAAATCATTAAGGTTTGGTTGGTTATTTACCCTTAAGGGACCAAAGTACTGAGAAAATGTGAAAACAATTACTTTTACGTGACAATATGGCAACGGAACAGGGTGGAGCAAAACCGATAAGCTAGCCCAGGCTAAAGACATTAGCATACTAACTAGTACGAGAGAGTGTGTGTCACTCTGTATAAGTCAGTTTTTATGCGTGTAGGAGTCCCGCCAGTGACAACAGAATTGTCCAGTATAACAAATCGGAAAGTTCCTTTAAAAATGCATTAGAAGCATAAAGAACTGAGAAATTAAAAATTTCTAAATTTTAATGTTATTCTATTTATAAAACATTCTATTAGCGAGAAGTGACAACATTGTTGTTATTAGAAATTCATGATGAAATATCAAATGAAGATTTGAGTTGAAATTGCACCACTCAACTACATCCAGGGAAGACTTTCGACGTCCGTAAGTGGGAGCTCGAAGCGGCCCTCTGTCCCTAACTCAGCAAACCGTTCCAGGGGCTCATTCCTGAGAGTCAACTAACCAATTTACAGCAGCATCCTCGGCAAAGATAGGGGAGAGGGCGCCGAAGACCATGACACTTACGGGCACTGCGCTTCGGAAAGAGGCACGTAGCATCTCCTTTATCGACTGCAGGCATGAGTAAACACTTCCAAATACACAATGCTCTGCTCAAATGCCTTTCAGGTCTACAAACCCACGAAGACTCATTGTGATACAGCAATGCTTGGCAAGATGGTAAACTTTGGAGGAATAACCATTATTAGCGAGCATGCCGCGAAGAATAACTAGAGCTACAACTAGCTTCATTCGTATCCCTGATTCGCGTACAAGCGGCTGCTATTATAATCGTTTTCAGATGCTTTATTAATGCTAGACAGTACACAATTTCAGAAATACATTACGTTTACAATTTTATTTTTACATTCTAGGAAAAATGTGTATATACCGCTATGCCTTTTTTGCTTTCTCCGTAGTTCGAGTAAATGTTTACTGTAGTATTTTCATTATATATGAAATAATAAAAATAACAAGATGGAACCCTTGGGAGAATGAGTGTTGCAGCGTGTGTTAATCTGCGCACTTTTGTTTTTTTTCTTAACTTTTTTTCATGCACCCCAGGCGGCGGCGGGGGGGAGACTTTCCCTAACCAATTGAGGCAGCGACACACTTAGGAGTTTTGTGCCGATGGTGCTCTGCTTTAGCACGTAAGCATTCTATAGTGTATCTTCTCCAAACCGCGCACTATGCTTGTCATACACATTCGCTATTCGAATCTTTTTACACGGAGACAACAAAGACATGACAACGTGTACCTTTGTATGAATCTGGGTTTGTATGAACTTCAAATTGCCTGTTCTGTCTAATGTACAGAGATGGGTATCGAAATACAAGACCAAATCCTGCGAGTCTGACAAGATTAAGATTATCTTGAAAAAAGAAAAGAAAAAAAAGAAAAAAAAAACATTTTCATTCTTGCGATACTCGTAGCAGCTGTGTCAACCAGCCTTTGATACGACGAAGCAGGTGGCTGTTGATATCGCCCTACAAACATTCACTAAACACAGAGGGTAGCGTTCGATTACCCGTTCGAGTGCTGTGTAGATATCAAAATAATACATCGACCCACCGTGGGTGTAAAAGAAATGTGGCGACTCAAAAATTGTTTATTTGTTGTTGTTTTCTGTGGTAATGGATAACACTACGTTTAGAAATGTCTGCAATTGAACTTTTGTTCCTCCTCCTTGTACTATCCTCACTTCTTATTACACACACATACATGCACTGGCTATAATACCGAGAGAGAATTCGAGTGTTAAGAGCTTGTCCAGCCTGGACCGGTGCCCTGCTGGTGGGAGATGCTTAGTTGTGGAAAACTCAACAAGCCGACGTTTAAGTCGGCGCCGGATCTTGCCATCCAACGGGGGAAGATCACCACCATCAACCACAATAGAACATGCACTACATTTACGAGCTAATGAGCTTAGCAGTTGACGCGCCCCGAATCAGTAATCAATCAAAAATGTCAACTTTTTAAACGAGTCAGTTTTCTTGAACACAGACGATACAATCTAGTGAAATCTAGCAACTGGTTTTAGATTACTTAGATATGCAGTAACAACTTACTCAAATTTCACAGGGTTTTGGTTTCCGAAATATCCTTAAATATAACTCGTGGCTTATTTCTGTTCTGAAACAGTTATTCCCGAAAGGTAGCAGGTCCGTATTAAATGTCACTTGTGGATCAGAGAGGGGAGGCGGGTGAGCGGGACTGCCTATCTCTTCGCATGCGGCCGCTCCAAGCGCACCCAAACATCTCTTCCTCAAAGCCAACACCCCATTTATGCCTTGAAACGTAATGCAATATTTAAAAAAAACTGATAACCAAGCCACCAGTAATATACTCACCCGACAAGAATAAGCAGGTACACCTGTGGGAACATTTCGCTATTTCTATGCCCGTTTTATTGTTTTAAAACTCAGAAGTCTCCCGTTGCAACTCACTTTTGAACGTTCCTGGACTACTCACACCACGAAGTGAGTTTAATTTCTGTACCAGATATGCCTCGAAATGTATTCAAATTTGGCTTCTAAGCTCCAATATAAGCTCTCCCTGGCATAAGTCAGATAAGATCACACATTTCTAAAATTCCGCGCTTAAGATAGTGTAATTATTAGGAAGCAGATTTCTATGATTTTCCATATTTTTGTCTGTTGCTTCAGGGCATCGTTAAAATTGGATACTATGTAGATTAATCTGTGAGTGCATATTTGTGCATTTTTGGCCGAATGTTTCTTGTCGGTGCCTCTTTCAGTAATTGTAGCCGCACACTTTATATATTTCGTTTCATATATCGTTTCGTATATTTCGTTTCAAAATACTTTCGTTTCATTTTTTCACAGAATATATGTAATTGTGAACGTTCATTGATTAGAAAGAGCTTATCACAAAGCAGGAGTAACGCAGATAGAGCAAAAAACGGACTTTTCGATAAAGACACCGTTGGCAAAAAAACGCTGGGCTTGTAGTTTGACAAAATGCAGATGTATTTGTAACAAGCAATTCCAGCGCTTTCTTGCAACTCTAATGGCGGATTTCTCGAGGTTTAATTTGGGAGTTCCTTTCGCTGCCAGCCGCTAAGAGGTCGTGGGCCTCTGTTTTTGCCATCATAATGTTCCAAAATATTGCTAGGTCGTTATAAAGAGGAAAATTAAACAGAACACTAATCGAAATTCAAAGAAAGAAACACACACACCACCACCACAACCACATCTCGAATGCACGTGGAATAAGCTGGAATACGAACACAAACTGCAAACGCATCCCTCAGACAAACGATTACACAAAATACAATTGTTGAAATGTTATTGCTTCTAGGCCGTCATTTACTGTGAATGTACACAAAGTAACTGGATATTATAAAAGGGATATCAACGTTTGTATATTCAGTCTCATGGTAAAATACAGTTTAAAGAAGAAAGAAAAGTAATTTTATATAGATTTATTATGTTGGTACGCGTGAGTCTACGGATGCGCTTGCTTATGCCATTTCACCAATCATAGCAAGCGCCCATTCTGGTAGGGAGTTGGGAATGATTTCTGAATATGTTACCTCTAGCAGCCCCCCAGCCGGGCAGCGACGGGTCCCCAGGCTGCCAGGGGATTGATTGCCTGTTGGCGGTTCGTGAATATGAGCCCTAAAGAACCCCTACATTTTAAAAAATGTTTTTCAAAATCACAAAGCTTGGAGTTGATCCAGATCAACTGGGAAATGTTAATTTTGGATATCGTACATACGGATTAAGCGCGAAGACTAAGACAAAGTAACGTGGCGGCAGCGTACAAGTATGTAAGCACGCGGAGATTTGGAGTAAGCGTGAAAATGAAGCCAAGGTAGGTGACACCTAATATCTTTCTTAAAATACGTAGTGTTAGAAATCAGTTTCTAACGCGGACGAGTGCTGACAGTCTAATTGCTCCATTTTGAGAATCCAGAGTCATTGGTAGCCGTTTAGAATCGCCCGCGACATAAAAAGCTCCAGCTCTCCCAGCAAATGTCAAACGAATCCTTTCGCTGTCTCACCTGGTGCGGTGGGGCTGTCGGGCAGCAGCGGCACGCTGCTGGTGTCCACGTGCGGCTGGAAGGCCTCGTACATGTCGCCCTCCTCCTCCAGCACCGACAGCGCGTCGGCGCCGCCCGCGCCCGCCCCCGACGGCATCGCGACGTCGACTTCGCCCCTGCGGCGAACCGCCCCTGCAACACACGCACAGCCACGTTCACAAGCGCCTCTCACCAAGTGGTCCAAGGGTTCCTCTCCCGACTGTGGCAGGATTTTCGACACTAGCTACACAGCTGGGGCGAATTCACTCGCTGTTTGGAGGAGAATTCGAGCGACCGGCTGCTCTGAGGGTACTTATCCGCGGTTTCTCCGATCAACACCAGGCGAGTGCCGGAACAGTACCCTAAGAAAATAGCCAGGGATCGCGCGCGATCTTTCTTACACCTTCCTTTTCTTCCTCGCCCCTTACTTACACTAATAAGCACTACACTACCACACATGTTGGGACACCGGTCGAGTGCTTAGCTTATGCCGGCTGGGGCGGTGCCCACCTGCTACGATACCTGGTAGGGGAAAACCTGTAAGCCGATCGGCGGCGGATCTCGCCATTCAGCGGGGAAAGATCACCACCACCTTCCACGATAAAAACAGTGCACTAAACTTACAAACTAATGTCTGAGGTGTTTCCTGCTTTATCTCTCGCTTCATTTCTTATATTTATTTTTATATGTTTTTAATGTGGATAATTTTAAATGAAAGTTAATATAGAGTAAGATCAAACATTTGCAGGTTTATTATGTAAATTAATCAATGTCAACTCAATCATACATAACCTTAAAAAAGAGAGAGCAAACACTTTACACATTCAGTCAATAACATTCAATAGCAAAATAGGAAACTTATTTGAAAGAAAGAGTCAGCACATTACAATGACCCTCAAAAGCAAATTTTATATTAGCATGTTAAAAGAGATGGGGAATTGGACGTCGAACTGCATAGAGAGTACGGGGGTCGCCACTCGCCCATTTCCAACAGGTGAATCGCAAAAGAGCGAAGGATGCAACGAGTGGGAGTGGTGCCAACGACGCGGCGCCTGCTTCCAAGCGCCGAGCTCTGCCCCCGCGCGGGCCCTCACGGGCGCTTGGGCTCGGAGAGGACAGCCTATGAGGCTTCAGCCCACGAGAACGTAGCCTGCAGTACGAACAACACGACGATACCTTCTACCTTCAAAGGACGACATCAAAAAGGAAAATGGAAAGCATTTTACTTCGCATTCAAATCTTTCACAACACACTTTTAAGACAGTATAATGTCAAAATTCACACTGCCATACATGTCGCATAAGTCACTCTTCTACATTAGTGAAAAGAACGTTCCCTTTCTCTTTGACTATATTACAAAGAAGCCTCATGAAGTTCGGCCAGACTCCAACGAACGAGCTTCACAGGATTACTTACTATACGCCAGCAATTCTTATTACGTCGTGATTCCAGAGTACGCCAGGGCTATCATGAACCAATGCATCGACCGCCAGCGTAAGTATCAAAGGTACGGCATGGCCCACCCGA